AAAAAAAAAAAAAAAAAAAAAAAAAAAAAAAAAAATTTATGCATTTAGACAATGGAAAAAGCAAATGGACCGAAGGGTGTTGATTGAAAACGAGTTCTCATTTGATGACTTTTTCTATACAAAAAAAGAGATAGGAAAAAAATAAAAATAAAAATAAAAAATAAAATATGAATAAATTAAAGAATATTAAGAACTTTACATAATTATAATAATTTTGTGTTCATAAAGTTATCATATATAACCATTGTACACTCCAAAAAAATAACAGGTAAAAACGCCCATTATAATCATTATACATAACATAAATAAAAAATACCTGTTTGATTACAAGAAATTTTTTCTTTTTTTTCTTCAATTATTCTTTTTTTTTTCTCTTGCAGACCACTTACAAACTCCGAAACAAAAAAAAAATAAAAAAGCACTTGTATAGGATTATTGATGTAAACAAAGGTTTGAAGTTATTATATCATGTGGTTAAATTACATTACTTGCTTACATTTACATGTTTTAAGCGCGATGAAACTGTTACTCTTTACTTTCTATGGTATTTTCTTTTATCAATAACAATTGTTTGATTACTATTTTTTACAAATGTACCTTTTATTAAAGTTTTTTTTTGGTTTGGATTTAAGATTAATTTGTAAATAATGGAAAAGAAAATATGGAAAGAAAGGACGAAAAAATAATTAATTATTTATGAAAAAATTATTATTGTTTTTAAAAGGATCTTTTTATTATTCGTATTTTTTTTTTTATTTTATATTATTGTTATTATTATTATCTTATCTTTATTTTATTTATTATTTATTCATACATTATTCATTTTTTACTTTACTTTTTTTCATTTATTTACCTTTTACATTTTTCTTTTTTTTACTATTTTATTTTAATCTTGATTATTTCCTAAAAATCTCTTCCTTTAATTTCTTTAAACAGTAAGCAAACAATTTTTTTTTTTTGATTGTATAGCAAATTTGGTAAATTAATACATTGCAGTTTTTGTAATGAATGGAAAATTATCAATAATTGTATGTCTGAATAAAGAACAACGAAACCTTTACAATTCCAAAGATGGTAAAGTGATTCAAAATTCTATTGAATATTATTTTCCCATAATAAGACCGTGTTCATATTTGATTGGCAATTTTATTTATTCGAGTTACGTTTTATTACGTTTTTGTTCTGACAATTAAGAAAGATCATTATTTAAAAATTTATTAAATTATTATTAAATTAAGGGGGTAAAAAAAAAAGGACTTTTATTAAACATCATGTATAATGATGTAGAATGACGCGTTTGACAAAAAAAAAAAGAAAGAGAAATTGTTTCATAATCTGTTATACCCGTGAAATCTCCGTATTACTTAATTTTAGGATAAAGATTATTATAGAGAATTGTTGTTTTTAAGTATTGTTGTCTAATTTATTACAAGGTCAGACCAATTATTTTTATTTCTACTATTTCTACTCGGCCGTTCTGACTAAGATTAAACCGCAGTAATAAAAAAACTTATTGTTAATGATGTGTTTAATATAATTGGCTATTCAATGATCCCATAATTTGCATAAACATAGTTCATTTTAAAAATAACACTAACGATACTGTGTATCATTAACCATTAATAGTATTATTATTTTTTATAAAGTAAACGAGATCTAATTTACTATTTATTTTGAAACGGTTTCTTATTGATAATTAGTTATATATAGATTTGATATTAAATCATATATCAGCCTAATAGATATGCAAATTACATAGTATGGTAGTTTGATTACTCACAAGGTCTTTCTCTAGAATAAAATTATTCTTAGTTTGAAAGTACTCCTGCAGTTAAATTATATTAAAATATTTATATAGTATATTTTATTCTTAAATGTATCATTCTATACATTGAATTTCAATTTAAATTATTCACTTTAAATTTTCATTAACCTTGAAAAAATAATGAATTAAAGCAAATAAAAATGATTTAACTAAAAAAATTTATAAATACATTTATTAAAAAACAAATTATTTTGGAATCAAATAAAAAAGTATTTAGATAAATCTAAAATCTCTTTAGCAAATTTTTTATAACAATAAAATTATAATAATAAAAACTTATCAAATATTATTATTTTATATATTATTTTTAAATACTGAATAAATTTTGTAATTTTTAATATTTAATTGTATAACAAAGATTTTATAAATATAAATTTACCTTTTATTATGGAATTGATATTTTATTATAAAAAGAATATTATTTTTTTATTTAAAGTATATCAAATCAGAGTTTGACTTCATACAATAAAAAAATATTATAATATGTATAATTCTAAGCTATATATTATAAATTTATTTCAAATATTATTTATTAATTATTCTTTTTTTTTGCAAAATAATATAATTATTAATCTATAACTACAAAATTAGTAAATTAAAATAAGTAAATTAAGTATATTATCTGTAATAAATAAACAGTTTACTAATAAAATAACATATAGGATTTTTATAAATAACAGACATTATAAAATTTAAAATAACTATAAAATAAAGAAATAATTTATTTATCGCACGTGCGATGCAAATTTTTATGTTTATCATTGCCATTTTAAGGGGGTGGCGATGTATAAGCAGGTTGATCAACATAAATAATTTACAAAAAAGGAAAGTGGCGATGCATCGCACGTGCGATGAATAAATTTACTCTAAAATAAAAATGTATTTAAATCTTTATATTTATTAATTAGAAATAAATCAAATAATTATTTAACATTTAATTTAATTATTTTGAAAGTTAAAATATGCACTTTGATTAATTTAAAAAGTTAAAATTAATTTATATATATTGTATAAAAAAGGCTATAATATTTGGAATATAATATTTTAAAAGGTTAAAGGCTATATTTAAAATATATTATATAAAAAAATACAGTATAACAAAATATGACTATATTTAGTAATTTTGAGTAAAACTAAAAGTGTTTAAAATTTGAACACACCTGCGTTTATAATTATATTTTTCTTATTTAAAAATTTTTTATAACTATTTTAAAGCAAATTTATATTTTTTTTGCATAAAATACTTAATATTATTAAAAAATTTTTTTTATTTATAATTTTCCTATTTATCTTAATAAAATTTGAGAAATTTTTAGTGAATTTGCATCTATTTTTTTATTTATAAATTTCATATCAAATTTTTCTTTAAATCAATATTTGTACAGTGCATACAACTTAATCCCAACAAAAAAATTTTTAAGCAGCCAAATTTTTTACATTATGTAATACTTAATCCTGTAATTTTATTGGTCAGATTTATTTAATTTAAGTTATAATTCTTAATTCTAGCCAAATTTATATAGTTAATAATTAAATGAAAGTAATTTTGGCCAGATTTACATATAATTCTAGTCAGAATAAAATAGCCAAATATTTCCAACTTTAAATTACTATTACTTTATTAAAAAATACTTTATAGAAAATTTAAAACATAGTTTTATTAAGCTTAATCTGGTTTATCATTGTATGTTTATACTTTATGTTTATCTTTTTTTTTTGAATGAATAGTAGTGATTTAAATTTCATCAAATTTAATTGCTAGGACTAAATTGTATGCACTATAGTTAATTTTTTCAAAAAAGTAAAAATGTATTAGAATCCTAAATGATGTCATAATGTAGCCCCAATATTCAAGTTTATTTTGCATTTTAAATGATAAAAATTGGTTTTGTTTTAAGTAAACTACACATATTTTTGTAATTTAAACCATTTATTAGTATTTTTTACTATATACTGAAATTGTGATAATTTAAAGAATAAAATTATTATAAAGGTTTATTTACTGCAAATTTTTTGATATTCATTTTTTGGCATCATTCTAAATAATATTTGAGTATTTTAAATTAAATCTAATCTACCAATGTTTTATAAATGTAATTTAATTTTCTATTATATTTTTTAATTTGAAATAAATAATTATTGCTAATTTTTTCAAAAGATAATGAATTGTTTATAACTTCAAAAGATATCAAAATGTAGTTTTGGGTTTCAAATTTACATAATATAAATTAAATTTATTTTGAACGCATAACATGCATTTTTATCATGTGAATAGTTTTTAGTTTTTTTTTGCAACATATTGTATATATAGTATAAAACTAATTGTAATTTAACTTACTAGTAAATTTTATATAATTATATAAATTATTTACTCCCATTATATGATAAATTTAGACCAATTAATATTTATAGTTATATTATTTTTATTATTTGTTTATATTATTTTTTTTATTTTTTACCTTTTCTTTTATTTCTTTTTCTTTTTACTCTTTTTCATTTTATTTCCTTTTTTTTTCTATTTTATTTTCTTTTTTATTTATTATTTTTATTTGCTTTCTTTTTTTTTCTTTAATATGTTTTTTTTAGATCTTTAGGTTCTTTAATTTTTATAATTTCTAATATAATATAATATCTTAATATATTTTTTTTTTATTAGTTTTGTTTTTTAATTTTATTTCTTATTAATTATATATATATTTTTCTTTATCATAGCATTTTTTAATTCCTTTCTCTTCAACATTATATGATACATTTTGCTCTTAATTTATTTTTATTTAGTCATTAATTTTTTTTATAAATTCGTTTTTTAACTTAATTACTAAAAGAGGGTTTTTTTTTTCTTTGTAATAAGTATCTTTTTTTATTTTTTACTAACTATATTTTTTTTACTTTATACTGTTCTTTAACTTAATATGTTTTGCTTTTTAATATCACAAATTTTACTTTTTGACTTCATATATTTTATTATCATTTCATTTTTTAACTTTCTTCATAAATTTCATTCTTTATTTTTATAGCTTTGTTTTTTGTTTTTTGCTTTGTTATTATTATGTATTTTTTGTATACTATAATTAGTACTAATTTTATTAAAATAAATAAAATATGAATTTAATAGTTTTTTTAATTAATAAACTTTAATTTTTTTTTATTTACCCTCATAGGAATCGATATTTAATTATGGTAAAAAGTTTTCGTAATTATAAACAATAACCTCTAAAATACTCCACTCAACTAGCAAATGTTTCCGATGAGCTAATAAACTTTAATTGAATATTTTTTTTAAACCATTTAAATATAAATTTTTAGGAAAGTGATTTATTTAATCTAAAGGGTAAGTTAATAAAACTCATATATATATACTGTATATTATACATTACATGATATATTACTATATATAAAACACATAATATGAAAGTGGGGATTTGAAGACTGAAGGTCTGGTCCCTACTGAAACATTGGATGTGTGGATCACAGAATATTAAAAATAATATCAATTTTTCTTATTATATTAGAAGAGCTTCTATCAGCTCTAGAATCTTAATTTTGATATTATATTTTTAAGCTTTGTGTGGATTTTCTATCTTCAGAAAGCATATCAATTTTTATTAATATATTAGAAAAGCTTCTAACAGCTCTAGAATCTTAATTTCTATATCAACTTTTCAGTTATATTTATTAAATCTAATGAAAAAATATGTTCCTTGAATAATTATCCTGCTTTTCAAAATACTATGAAATATTACGAATTATGCAAATTAGATGAAACTATACCTTTGAAAAAACAGAATCCATTTGCTTCTAAACCTCCATTTAGATTAGGAATTGCGAGCACCTCTGAATCTGGAAAGACAAGCATAATAGTATATTTGCTTCTAGGAAGTAAATATCCAAAAATCTATCCATAGATATCTGGTGAAAAGTGTGGTCATAAAATACCAAAAAGTGAAAGCAAAAATTTTGGTGAAAAGTATATTCCATGTGATAATCTAATTGTTGTCACGCAACACCAAGATGAAGAATTATGGGAAGCAGTACAATGTTTTTATGAATTTATAGCCAGGGATAAGGAAGCTTCATAGTATAAAAATGTGAGATTCAAGTTAATCGTACTTGAAGAACTACCTGATATTTTGTCTTTCAAAAGAACTGGCCGATTTACTGTTATAGTCTTTGATGATTTTGCTGGGAAACCTTTGGCAACTCAGCTAAAAATTGTTCCTTTCTTTAGATTAGGCAGACATGATGGAATTAGCTCAATTTATATAGCCTAACATTTTTATGAAATTTATTAAAATATATGCGCAAATCTTAAATATATTTTATTGCATTGTGGATGTGAAACATTAGATAGTATAAAGTGAATTCTTAAAGATACACATGATAATTATGAGTCTCTAGCAAAAAAAATTTATGGGTAATTAAAAAACACTTTGTGATTATTGATATTCAAAAACCATCTGATGATCTCTTATCAATTAGATTTAGATGGAACAAACCTTTGAAAGATAGCTAAATTCAGAATGACCAATATTTTGAAATTATCCATGCTTTGTGGCCTTATCTATATCCATAAGGTAAAGTTTCATAGAGGGTAGTCCTGTCTTTTAGTTCTTCTGTGTATTGGATTGGGAATGCATAACCTTGATTTCTATTTAAGGGTATTTTATAGTTTAGAATATTTTTTTCTTCATTGTAAGATGAATATAGACGAGAGAATACGTACCATAAGATGTATATGATTAGTGATACTATTACGAAGATGATGAATGCATGCTAAAAAAATAAGGAATAAGGTAATTCTAAGGTTGTTTTAAGGCTAGTGATTTCGTTACCTTTCTCTAGACTGCTAATACCTCCAAGCATTTCAGACTCGCTAGATGTTTTTAGAATCTGCTCAGCTAAACAAGCATTAATTTCTTGAAGAACGGTCTCTTTCTCTGATAATGTCTTTTGTACTGAGGACAAAGTATCTCTCATCTGCATTAATTCTTCTTTTTTATCCATCAATTCTATTCACGTTGAGGATAATTCATCCCTCAACTGAATTAATTCACCCTTTTTTTCACTTAATTCATCTTCCTTTTAGATCTAAGTCAACATTCTTTAGCTTAACATTTTGCCTTGACTGCGCCAACTCTCATCTAAAGGAATCCATTTCTGATAAGTCTTTCTAAGCTAAAAAATATTTCATTTCCAACTCTTTTATTTCTGATTGGAGAGCTTGTATCTTTTCCAATTTTGTAGTGATCTCATTTTCAGCTTTTGTGAAAGAAATATCTTTATGGATGATTTGATTTTTGAGCTCTTTCATCTCATTTTCAAGCTGGCATACACGCTCTAAAAAACTTTTGTTATTTTTAGTGGTCCAAACTGGTAATCTGCAATCCGATGATCTTTTGGATATATCTGTTTAACCAGATTGAAAGTTTGCTAAATAGATAGGTTTCACTGAATCAGTGGATATTCAGTGAATATCTAGCAGATATTTCCTCATTTCTAATTTTTCTTATTTCTTTCGTATTTTTCATGACAAAATATCTTCAACTATATCCAAATAACTAATAAAAGGTACTTCAATTACTAAAGATACTACCTTTGAACCTACTAAATATTTAGAATTATTTGTTGAAACAGAAGAAAAAGAAAGTAGTACTGAACCTTTACAAAACGAAGAAAAAAAGGAGGTTAGTTGTACAGTCAACTCTCTTTATAGTCACACATTTGGGACAGTCCATATTTGGTGATTATAAAGAGATGTGACTATATTTCAAGCATCTTCTATAGCTCTTAACTTGACTATTACATTTTCTGATTGGCCAACAGTCTCATTTAATATATTAGCTCCTATCTGTACTGCAATTCGCTCATTTATTGCAACTAAGTTAGCCTGTTCTGTATAAAGCTCTGAACGGTTCGGGCTAAACCAGGGAACCGATCCGAAACCGGCTCAAAATTCGGTTCGGTTCGGTTCGGGTATTAGAACCGAAAAACTGGCGGTTCAGTTCGGTTTAATCCGATTTTTATAAAAATGCGAAAAATCGAATAGCCGGCCATCTAGTGATCGTACAAAGTC